CTTTTCTTTTCATGTTTTCCTGTTCTTTTTTCTTCACCGGGGTGGCGTGTGCATAATTTAGGGCAAGCCGCCCTGGATGCACCCCCCGTGTTCTCTGTCGGTACTCCGCCTCCATAAGGCCGTCACGTAGTTCCATCGCTCATATCCACTTGCTGCAGGAGGCCGTGGGCCGTAGGCCCGCGCAAAACAAACGACTGTTCGAAACAAAAAGAGAAATAACTACTGTAACTTGAGGAAAACGTGAACGACGCCCAACATCATACCGGATTCCGGTAGGGAGATTTTTACCCATTTTCCCCAGATTTTTTTATAAACATTTTTTAAAAAAACTCGTGCCTTGTGTGTTCCTTGGCGCCTCCCCTCCCCTGACGCTTCGCTGTCCCGGCCGACCCTGCGCGCACTGTTCGGCCGGTCAATACAAGGAATTCAAATAAATCTGCCTGGGGCAATAAATGTCAGGCCGGGCCGGCCTGGGCGGCAGGAGGTCTCACGGAGTGTCGCTAGAGTTGCCACCCGTCCCCCCGCCGGCTTGCCCAGCGCGCACCTTCGTCTTCGGAGTATCGCTAGAGTTGCCGCTCGCTCCCACACGGCCGGGCGTGGCTCCTACCACTCCCACCCTACAAAAAGAGCGCGAATTTGGAGGCAAAGTCGGCCAGATAAAAGGATGAAAGGAAAATTTGAATTTCCCGGTGGTTGTGTGTGGGTGCGCGCGCGTGTGTAGGTGTGTGCGTGTGTGTGCGAGAGGAACAGTACTAGCCCGGGGCACGCCGGCACGCCCCAGGGGAAGGCTGGCCTAACAGGGTGGCAACGGAAGGTGGTGACAGGGCGCCGAGGGGGAGGGGGAGCAGGGGGAGGGGGTTGTGGCAGGAAGACAAGGACTGATAACTGGTCGCCTTCCCCGCCTCTCCTTTTCACGCCCCATCCTCCTTACTTTTTAACATCATCGGTAAAAAGGTCACGACTTCAATAATGGCGTATTACCGAATGGAGCGTCGTCGCGCCGCCGTCGTCTCATCTCCCTACTCTCTCTCTCTCTCTCTCTCTCTCTCTCTCTCTCTCTCTCTCTCTCTCTCTCTCTTCTCTCTCTCTCTCTCTCTCTCTCTCTCGCTCCGCCCTTGCCGCCCCTCCCCCTCCGACGTGTTGTTCCCTTTATCTCTCTCTCCCTTCCCTACTGCCTTTCACTTACTAGGCGACTTGCATCGTCGCCCTTTCCCCAGTCCACGTGGAGGCCGCCGGGCGCCGGGGAGTGGCAGCCTTGAGTTTCAGCACGCACTCGGCGGCGGCGGCGACTTTTCAGAAAACACCGACATTCTCCACGGTTTTCGATTTATCTCGGCTTGGAGAGCACACTCGAAGTGAGCCGTCGAGACGAGCCTTTCTTTGTGGTACTCCTCGGGCCGCGCTGGCTCGGCGCTGCTAGCTGCAACCTCGAAATGCCTCTGGCGGCGCGGCGTGCTCGGCTCGGCGCGGCGCTGCGCTGTATGAATCACTCAAACGTTCTGAATCATTGAGGCGCCTCCCTTTCTTCGGCAGCCGCGGCCTCGGCCGCGAAACGCGAAATGCGAAATGAACGTTGCCGTCGTAACAGTAGCCGAGCGGGCCGATGCCGAATGCCGTCTGTCTCTCTCGCACCGCTGCGCCGCGGGCCGTGAGTGAGACGGAGACAGAGCGCGCGCCGTTCGGAACCAACCTGCAGCAGCAACGCAGCCCCGTATCAGAGGCAATAATTTCCCGTCGGCTCCCGAATCGCTCTCTTCACTTCCAAGATGAAGACAGGAACGAGGCACGGACGGCCGAGGCCCCGCCCGGGCCCCGGCGGCCGGCGGACCGTTTCTCTCCCAGTGCCCCCCGTGCCTGCACTGGGCCAGCGCGGACCGCGGGGGCGGCGCGGGGGCGCACAGTGGGCCAGAAGACCGGTGGAGGCAGCCAAAACTCTAGACGCGTTTTGAGCTCAAGAGTCGCCTAGCAGGACTCGAACCGAACGTGTGACCCCACCAATGGATTCCCCGTTCGGAGAGCAATCCATTGGTGGGGTCACACGTTCGGTTCGACCCCTATTTAGCGACTCTGGAGCTCAAAACGCGTCTAGCGTTTTGTGCGCCTCCGCCGGTCTTCTGGCCCACTGTGGGGCGGTGCGGTGCTGTCTCTTTCCCTCCATTGATACCGTATTCCCGGGAGGTCCATGGTGTTTTCACAGATAAGCCACCGATGATTGCTCGCAGCAGGGCCGCGCCAGACCGGCCAGCCCGTCCAGTGTGAGACAAAAGGAAGACGCCCTTTGTGAGCTGCTTTAATAGCTCATCATGGACTTGATGGCTTGCCTCGGCGTCCTCGGCGCCGCCGACCGCGTGGCGGTGCGCCCCCACCGTAAGCCGAAAGCCCGCAAACTGATATCGCGACCGACGATCATCCTCGGCGGCATGAATCAAACTTGAAAACTGCACTCACACACACTCACACACACACGGAAGGATTCCGACCGGAGTTTGATTCGGCTGGAGTTTGATCCGCCGCCACCGCTTGGACCCGGCAGCTTCGGCCGTCAGAACGAGTCTGAGTCGCGAGAGGGCGTCGGTCTGTATCACGCGGCGTTTGCGGAAGAGATTTGCGCATCGCTCTCTCGGCCGCCGGACCGACTGATGCGAATATTATGCCCTTTTCAAACTCGGCGGCGCGCCGCGGACCGAACTTACTGAGCCCTGACTGAACGGCCGAAGGCGAGGGGGGCTGTTGCCTGACTCCGCAAAACAAAAATGGGAGAGAGAGAGAGAGAGAGAGAGAGAGAGAGAGAGAGAGAGAGAGAGAGAGAGAGAGAGAGAGAGAGAGAGAGAGAGAGAGAGAGAGAGAGAGAGAGAGAGAGAGAGAGAGAGAGAGAGAGTTGTTTTTTTGGCGTGGGGAAACTCATCGGCGTGGAGTGTCGGCGAGACGCTCTGCCACTGCCGCGCACTGCGGTGCCATCCTGCCGTGTCCTGCCGCCCTGCCGCCGTCGTCCTGGAGTCCCCGACGGGGTCGTCGGGGCGCTCGGCGTCCCTCACATATTCAGTTGATGGCCGCTGCAGGTGCGCGCCGTGCCGCCTGTCAGGCCGAGGCCGTGGAGGCGATGCAGGGCTGGAGGCTGCTGGAGGCTGCTGGAGGCTGCTGGAGGCTGCTGGAGGCTCGAGGGGGTGCAGCGGTTGGAGCGCCCGGCTGGCTGATGATTCCCCTGCCCGCCCTGGCCGCCCTGCTGCAATGCGACAAGGATTACCTCACCGGTCACGTCCCTGCCGACTGCCGCCGTCGCCGCGTCGCTCCGGACAGGCGGACCAGACGAACCAGGATCTCTGTTTCGACGGTGAAAAAATCCCGACTTCGACACCGGTGCCACACGTCGGTGCCCGGGTTCGCGTCCCGCCCGGGTCTTCATTTTCGAGGGCTTACATTGATTTGCAGAGGGGTCAAGCTGGCCGGCCGGGCGGCGCGTGTGTGCGTGCCTCGTGCGTGCGGGCGGAGGGGCGCCGTCAGGGTCGCCAGCCCTCCCATTGTCACCGCCCTCTCAGGCCCCTTCCGAAACTTCGTCGCTCTGTCTCTCTCGCACTCACGGGGTGCTCCCTACGGGGTGCGAGAGAGACAGAGCGACGGCACGCCGTGCGGAACCCCCATGCTGGGTCCGGAACTGGAGATGAGCCCCAAGTGGCCCGAATTTTCTCGCGTCCCTCTTAAACGACTCGGCCCCCGGAATTTTTCAACACTTGGACGCCTCTACATTCCGGGCAGCGGGGCTGTGCCCGAGTCGAGGCTAGAGCGGCTAGAGCCGTGCCGAGGCCCCCAGCGGCGCGGCACTGTAGGGAAGGGGCGCTAGAGCCCCGGGAAAATAGCAGGAATCTGCAGTCTGCTTGGGCAATATGACGCAACTCGCCATTTTCTTATGAGTTTGGGTTCTTAGCGTGGTGCGACAGCCTGTTTTGATTGATTGATCCGGATTGATCGGCGGCAAAGGTCGTGCTACTCAAAACACAGCTTTGAACCACCAGATAGCCACTGTTTCGGCCAAATGAAATTAACTCCACCCACCAACCGACGACCAAAAAAAAAGCACCAAAAAAAGACGCCCAGTGATGCGCTGGGCACAATTCGTCCTTCGGGACTCGAAGGGACTGCCTACGAAGGGCCTCGTCCTCTCGGAGAGGGAAGGGTGGAGGGCCGAATGAAATGGGACGGACAGCCAAAACAGGGCGTGTGCAAATTTCAACACGTCGGCGGCGGCCCGGGCTGCGTTCGAGAAAATGCCGAAAAAGCTGTTGGCGTTGAGGCGGAGACAGCCGTTCTGGGGCGCAGCGAGTTTCGGGCGGCAAAACGAAACGAAAATCACACCGCGTGAGTGGAAAGTAAAAGCACCCGGGTTCGAATCCCACCGAAGGCGGACCGCAATCCCAACTCTCGTACCCGTCGAAGTTTGCAAGCTATTTTTAACCTGGTTTGTTTCAGTGTGCTCGCAGTTTAACGCCGAGCCAAACTGTCCCTTTCAATTATGAATTTTAAATGAAGCATATCTGCATATATTTTTTTTTCAGAACAACTTGAGTCCGGCCGAGGCGCGGCGGCACGGGCCTGCTTGCTTGTTTTGCGTCCGTTGCATGCTACATGCGAGCGAATGCCCTTCCCCCTCCCCCTCCCCTCCCCCACCCCCTCCCCGAGGACCCTTTTACCCACCTCAAACAGCAGGCTGTCTCGCTTCCGCTTACAACCTGCCCGGCCCCACCGCGACCCCACCCCCTTCCTCGAAACCGCAGCAAGCCTACCAGTTCCGCTGTCAGCACTGCGCAACCCATACTTTTCTTGCAAACAACTTCTCAGAGGCAGCGCTACTCTGCAAGGGTAAAGTTAGCAGTCATTTTCCAAAATTCAAATTTTTGTCGCTCGAGCATGTGGTGGTGTGTTGAACTGAATTCAAATAGCTTGGGTCACGAATGGTCCTCTGGTCTTCGTATCCGTCGGGCGAAAGGAAAAATAGACAAGTCAGATTTCATTGTTCATTAAAATTTATTCAGTCTTTCGTTTCTGAACATTGGCACGCAGTCACTTCTACTTCAGCAGGGATTGCGGTGGACGGACCTGCTGGCGGCCAAGGCTTCGTCTACACGCTGCTTCGCTCACAGGAAGGCGCGGATCTCGTCATTCTCCTGGTAGATGTCCTCGTTGACCAGCTTGTGGCTGGGGGTGTACTTGCGGACGGTCTGGTACTGGCTGTCGAAGCCGTTGACGTTCTTCTTGAAGGCGACGTGGTTGTAGGCGTCGGAGGAGTCCTTGTGGAAGATGACGACGTCCTTGAAGTACATGTTGGGGGTGTAGAAGTGGGCGAAGTTCTCGATCTTGCGGTCGAAGGGGAAGCCCAGGGGACGGTTGTCCAGGGAGGTCCAGAGACCGTTGCAGGAGAAGACGGTGTTGGTGTTGACCTGGCTGTGGCCGTGGAAGTCCTCGCTGGCGTCCACGCCGTAGGGGGTGACCATGACGAACAGGGTGTAGGGCACGCCGGCCTTGTGGCCCATGGGCAGGGCCAGGCGGTCGGGGAAGCCGCAGTGGTGGTCGACGGGGCCGGCGGAGTAAATGTTGCCGGACTCGGCGCTCTTGAGCAGGCTCTTGAAGGAGTCGTAGTCACCGACGGTGGCGGTGAACTCGCGGGAGTGGCGCTCGATCAGGTTCTCGCCGGTCTTGACTGCAATGGGGAGGCAAGAGCGTTAGAAAATGAAAGCAAAGTCATGCAAAATGTGTCGTAAAACAAAAGAAAAAGGACACTCACGGTCGACGGGGAAGCGGTCGAGCTCGACGAAGTACTCGCGCAGGCGGTTGATGTCGGCGGTGTCGTGGCCGTAGTAGACGTCGGAGGCCTGCTTGCCGTAGAAGTTGGTGTAGATGTACTCGGTGCTGGGGCCGAGGAAGACGCGGACGACGGCGTTGGTCTTCTTGTCGCTGGCGACGTTGACCTTGTAGCTGAAGGGCTGGTGGTTGAGGCGCATGGCCTTGGCGACGTAGTTGAACTTGGTCATCTCGTCCAGGGTGGCGAAGTCGACGGCGTTGGTGACGTCAATGTCGAAGAGGTCGAAGTAGGTGATGAGCTTGTCGACGGCAACATCCTTAACCTGGACGCCGCTGAAGTACAGGTCCTCGGTGCGGTAGTAGGGCAGGTTGTCCTTGTACTGCTTGAAGAAGTCCATGATGTAGCTGGTGTAGTAGTAGAAGGCGGGGTCGCGCAGGGCGGTCTCGTAGTGGGCCATGACGCCGGGGGCGACGCCGTGCTCCATGCTGGGGTCCATGATGAGGGCGAACAGGTTGCGGAGCATGGTGGTGTAGGCACCGTAGTAGCGGTTGTTGACGGAGTCCTGGTTACCCTCGACGATGTTGCCGAGCATGTTGATGCCCTTGATGTACTGGGTGATGGGGATCTTGTTGCCGTCCTTGCCGTACACGAAGCCAGAGTCGATGGCCTCCTTGATCCTGTACTCGATGGCCTTGAGGTCGTCGATGGTGTAAGACTTGATGCTGGCCAGGGGCTGGTTGTCGGGACGGCTGGGGAAGTAGGCACCGTTGTGGTACATGAGGTCGGGGTGGTAGCCGTACTCGACGGGGGTCTGCCAGTCAAAGTCGTTCATCTCGGGCAGGTAGTTGGCCATGCGGTGCAGGTTGTAGTGGGCCAGCAGCTGCTGGTGGAAGTAGTAGAAGGCCTCGCCGCGCATCTGGCAGCTGGTGATGCCGTACTTCTCGCAGTTCATCCAGAAGGGCATGTAGAGGTGGGCGTAGGCGTAGTAGGCGTTCAGGCCGGCGTCCTCGGTGAAGTAGCCGACGAGCTGCTCGGGCTGGCTGATCTCGTAGCCACCGGTCCAGTTGGTCATCTTGACGTAGTTGTACACGTTCTGCATCTTGGCGCTGTAGAAGTCGCTCATGTCGGAGGCGTGGAAGTACAGGTGGGGGTACACCTCGTACAGAGGGGGCAGCATCACTCCCTGGCAGTCGTCACGGTGGACGGCGGCCACGGACAGAGCGTACACGAACTGGCCCTCGTTGACGTGGTCGCGAGCCCAGGCAGCGGTCTTGATGAAGGTGTCGAAGTCCTTGGCGAAGTAGAACATGTCGAACAGGGCGACGGCCTCCTTCAGGTGGGAGTCGTTGTACACGTGGAAGATCTCGCCCTGGGGGAGCATACCCTGCTTCCACATGGACACGAAGGTCTTCACCACGTACTGGTTGGCGTAGCGGTCGATGTACTGTTCGGGGTTCCAGGTCTTGCCCAGAGCGACCAGCTCGGGGTACATGTTCTTCTGGGACACATTGCGCAGCAGCTGCAGAATGTACTTCTGCTTCAGAGCCAGATCCTGACCACCTGTAATGGAAACAGCCAAGATTGATTGCAGTGCATTTCGCTTTCCCCGAAACCCTCGTAAAATTAGGGCTGCTTCTGTGAATATGCTAAGAGTGGTCGTCGGCGCTTACCGTGCTGGGTCTGGTGGACGTTGTTGTAGGTGTCTGGGACGTGGAGGGCCGCGGCGCAGGCCGCGATGGCGAGGAGGGCTACGGTCACCTTGTACATGGTGGCTGTGCTTGACCAACTGGTACCGACCGAGTGGCGCCCGGGCCTTTTATACCGACCGAGTACCGGGCCGATGCGTATCAAACTTGTTGGCCGGCAAGGGCGATCATGTGCCGTAACAACTCGCTTTCTTCCTTTTTCTGATATCTTTGTTCAGTGACGAGTACTGTCCTTTTTATTAGCGAAACGCCTTGTGAATTCGTTATTGCGAAGGTTTCGGCAATCCATGTAATCCCCAACGCGCAGTTCATGAGTTAATCGTCGTCGCCGTGACTGCAGTTCGGCACTACTCTTTGCTCTAGTTCGTCGCTGGTTCCAACTGGTTCCTGCCCCCGTCGGGGCGTGGCGGGGCGTGGTGGGGTGGGGCGGGGCCTCGAACACCTTTTACAAAACCATAAAAGCGGCGGTATAAAACTGTTGGCCGGGACGTTAAGGCCCCGAGGCCCGGAGTGCCGGCCCTGCATGGCGCGGGGCTCAACGCAGTCGAACTCACCCCGCCCCAAGTAGTGCTGCAAGTGTAGAGGACGAGGAAAAAGAGAGAAAAAAACGGCACGGACGCATTTCAAACTTCTTTACGCGGGTATAAACCGAAGGCCCGAAGGCCGCGTCCACGGGGTGCTTACTCTCTTTTTTATTTGCCAGTGGGCTGAAAAATTGAAGGGCCTCGTTGTTTGTCGAGCCGAACCTGGACATTCGGCGCGGAGAATGAACCCGCACCTTGGCGTGATGGTCCCCGTCATGACGGCGAGCGCAGACGAAAACACGGCCTTTATTTTGGCGCCTGGAAACCTTGAACGCGTTTTTACGGTCGCTGTTCCAGTTTTTGGACGCCTCGCGGGGAACGCTTCGCGCCGCAGCCTTGGCGCCGGAGCCCTGGCTGCACGCACGCCCGCCCCGCCCCGCCCCGCCCCGCCCCGCCCCGCCCCGCCCCGCCCCGCCCTCCCGGAACGGCGCCGCCACATCCTAAAAGCCGCACCCCTGCCTTTACGGCCGTCAAACACCAGTAATGTAGCACGAAGCCTCGCGCCCTAGCGAGTCCTGGGCAGCCCAAGGGCCGGCCCAGCCAGCCCCGGCCAGCCCTAGCCCTCCAGTAAAGGGCAAGTGGTGCGTACGCACTACACTGTACTGAACCCACGACACTGCGCGTCGCGTCGCATAGCGGCGTCCGCAAGGTCCGATGTCCCTTAATTATGTTTCGTTGGTTAGTGACCCTCCCTCCCCCTCCCCTCCCCGTCACGCCCACGACGACGGCCTGGTGTCCAGGGCCCCGGGGGTCGTACGACGTCCGGCATGCACCCTCTACCCTCCCCTGCGTTTGTCTCCTCTGTTTGGCCAATCGCCTTGCTGTGTGTGTGTGTGTGTGTGTGTGGTCTTGGCAGGGTGTACGTCACTGTGGATGTAGCTTGCAGCTAACGGCGTTCTTGGTCTCGACAACTCGTTCGTCTCGGCGGCGCCTGGTGGGTAGGCACACACGAGGCGCGGCTGTCCGTTGGGTTGCCTGCCTGCTGCCCCCGGGTCTCTCCGATAAGCCGCCCTGTGCTCTGCGACCCACACCGATCGGCCGAGCCGTCGCCGCTTTCGTCGCTGTGTCTCTCTCGGTCTCGCCGGAATGCTGGTTGACCCGCGAGCACCGCGAGCACCGCGAGGGCTATCGTGCTGAACCGCGGGTGGCGCGCGGCGCGCTATCAGGCCACCTTGACGTAGTCAAACACGCGAGCGGCGGCATTTTGACTCGCCGCGGCCCGCGGGTCCACTCGCAATACCTCCTGACCGCCGCACAGTGGGCCAGAAGACCGATGGAGGCGGACGAAACTCTAGACGCGTTTGAGCTCCAGCGTCGCTAAATTGGACTCGATTCGAACGTGTGATCCCACCAATGGATTGCTCTCCGAACGAGGAATCCATTGGTGGGGTCACACGTTCGGTTCGAGTCCTGTTTAGCGACTCTGGAGCTCAAAACGCGTCTCGAATTTTGACCACCTCCACCGGTCTTCTGGCCCGGCGTGCTTCTAAAACGGACCAAAACAAAACAGGCAAAAAGTTCCGGTGTGCGCGCACCGCGGGGGAGGGGGGGGGAGCAAGATGGCGGTGGGCCTGGTGGGCCCGGCGGGCTCGGCCCTGCCTAGTCTCACGGGGGCGATAAGACTGCGTCGGGCAGAGTTGTCTGGAGGGGAAAGGAAACACCGAGACAGGTGAAGCCGCATGCAAAAAGGGCCCCAAAAAAATGAACCGGTTCAAACACAATTTTTTCTCAATTTTCGGTTTTCAGTTTTCTCAATTTTCATCTAGGATAGAGTAGTTTTTTTTTTCAAAGTTGTAATTTTTTGTTTAATTTTTATTGCTCTTGATTTTGACGCTATGCCAAAGTCCCTGGAATTGCCGACTTTCCATACCAAACGCTATTTTCTGCATAGCGGTCATCGACCAGCACTGCGGCGACCGTAATGAATTGCCCGCCGCGTTCCTGGAAACATTTAACAAATTCCAGGCCAGCTTTCCTGGAAGGCTGATTATTCCGTCGTGTGTTCCTCCCTCTCGCTCCCTCATTGTGTTTCGGCTGAGGTCATCAAGGAGAGAGCGGACGGCCCTCGTCGGGCATTCCGGTCAGCTCGGCCACGGCTAGGCCGGCCTGCTCCATTCCGAGAGTCGTTTTCGTCGCTCTGTCTCTCTCGCACCCATGCGGGGCGCCCCGTGAGTGCGAGAGAGGCAGAGCGACGAAAACGACTCTCGGAATCAGTCTGCAGGGCCCGGCAGGCGCCACAACAAGAAAACGAAGCCAGCCGCAGGGCGCAGGCGGACCTCCTTCCACACAAAGTTTTACGTCGGTAAGCGCGCCGCACCCCGATGGGAGAATCGGCTATCCAGCGGTGATTACCTCGTGGCCGTGCGCGTAAGGGCGCAGACCTCCGACCGTCGAGTCGTGGGTTCGAATCCCAGCGACTGCCGTTTTTTCTTCGTCTCAAACATCTCCAAAAGCGCTCATTATGACCGTAAAAGGTTCGAAAAGGCGTCCTTTCTTTTCCTCTTGCTGACTGCCGCCTTTTTGCAGCATCGTTATGGCGGCGTCGAAAGGGCAAAAATGTAGACAAAGAGGGTTGAGACGTCACACGGCGACGACACAAGACTGCCTTCGGTTCGGGCCGAGGGATGCGCGCGGGGGGTCGGGGGAGGGGGGGGGGGGAGGGGCGGAACCGCGCGTGACCTGAAAGCTGAGCATCACTGCCATGTCGTGCAGCGCAGTAAGCTATCCTGGCGGGGCTGGCGGGGCTGGCAGGCGGGGCGCGCCGAGGACACGCAGTACGTGTCTTTGAACGCGGGGCGCGGCTGGCGCGGCCGGATCCTCGGATCCTCAAACCGAGCCGGCATTAAACATGGAGGGCCAATCAACACGCTCGAGGCGAGGCGCCCCACCCGATTCGCCCAAAAAATGGCGCCTCCGCCGCTCTGTCTCGCTCGCGCCCTTCCGGGACGCCCCGCGAGTGCGAGAGAGAGACGCACTGCCCTGCTTTGACTGGATCGCTTCGCTCGTCCGCGGCGCGCTACGTACTTCTTGTCCGCGAAACGGAGAAGAAAGGAGGGGGGGGGAAGAAGCAGCCTAACCTAACCAGGCTGTCCGTCCGCCGCACTGCGCGGCACTGCGCGTGCATTTGGCCCCCCTTCCATACGGAAAACACGGAAAAGCGTTTACAAGAGTGGCAGCAGGAACGCCGCACAGTGGCAGGCCAGGGTGGGGCGGGGCGGGGCGGGGCGGGGCGGGGCCCTGCGGGGGGTCAGGGCCACGGACCGACTGAGGCGTAGCGGACGGGCCGTGGCGGGCCGCAAGCCAAAAAAAGGGAAGGAAAATCGTGGAAACGTAGCCCTCGCTCTCTCTCTCTCTCTCTCTCTCTCTCTCTCTCTCTCTCTCTCTCTCTCTCTCTCTCTCTCCTCTCTCTCTCTCTCTCTCTCTCTCTCTCTCTCTCTCTCTCTCTCTCTCTCTCTCTCTCTCTCTCTCTCTCAGTCACTCACTCACTCACTCAAATTGCGAAAAAAATATGGCCGCCTCGGTGGTATTTGAACCCCGGACCGCGCGATGACAGCCCCAACCCATCGCACCTAATTGTCGCGCTGAGCGTGCGCGTGCAGTTGGAGGCTGAGCCGCGCCGCTGTCTCTTTGAAATGAATCGCCGGGCGATTTATCGGGTTATGAAAGTGGCTGCCTCTCCCGCCTCGCGCACCGCGGACTCTAAATCATGGCCGGATTAGCGCGGAGGCAGCCCAGTCAGACTGATTCCGGGAGTCGCTTTCGCCGCTCCGTCTCCCTCGCACCACTCTGCAGGTGCGAGAGAGACAGAGCGACGCGAGCGACTCCCGGAATCAGTCTGCTGGTCCGGCTAAGTGGCCTCGGGTTTGATTATGTCGCGAGGCACTCCGCGAGGCACTTCCCGGATGGCTCATCGCTCGCTCCATCGAGCTGGGGCGTCAGCACAACGGTGCAAGCAGGAGGTCTTGAACAACCAAGATAATGCACTTGCAGCGGGTTCGATACCCGACTCAGTAATTTTTTTTTTCTCCCGAAAAATCTTTCCCTTTCTTTGTTCAACACATTTCACTAACGCGAGCAGCGCCGCTGGTGCAGCACTGTAAAACAAAAGAAACCGAAGCAAATTAAATGCGCCAGCGAAATGATTCACTCGGCGTTCCGCCTGCAATTAGTTGCGACTTAGGACCGCGTCTTGCGGCCCTGCAGGCTGGCTGCCTACAGGCTGCCGCGGTGCAGCGAGGGCTCCGTCCTCCTCTCCTCCAAGCTCGCCGGGCCGGAGGTCGGCAGGCAGCCAGCAGCAGACTGATTCCGAGAGTCGTCGCACTGTCTCTGTCGCACCTCTGGGGGACGCCCCATGAGTGCGAGGGAGACAGAGCGACGAAAACGACTCTGAGTCTGCAGGCCCTGCAGGCCGCATCCCGCAGCACTCAATGTGATTGCGCGGCCGCCCACCTCCCGCCTATTCTTTCCCCGGCTAATTTCAACAAATTAATTTAATAAATCACGCCCGCGGGCCGATTCCGAGCAGCCGCGCTGT